AGGTGCTGGAATTGTCGGTTCATGTAACCTTGTGTGTATGTTATAGTAGGTTCCTCTGGACTAAATCGGCCTAGCTAATGTTTGTAAGTCAGTGTAATAGATGTGATATATGAAAATTGACTGTCTAAATCGGATTTTCATTATATAGTCTATATAAACCCTCACCCTTCTGAACTTACTTAATAGACGGGTGACATTTTTAGGTCACCTTAGCCAATGGCTCACGTCACAGTCCATATCTTAACGTTATTTTTCCAGACCTCATAGAGGAGAGCTGCTGAAATTGTTGGTTCATGTAACCATCATGTAAATAGTGAATATTATAAATATATGTTTCATTTTCCCAAAAACAAAATGTACATGTTGACAACTTTAAAAATACGTTTGAAAAGTTCTATAACAAGAGTTCCTGTACAAAGATGTTCTTTCTTTATTGTCAAGATTAAGCATTGATTTGCTTTCAGTTTGCAGTCATAGTCAATATGATTGCCAATTGGAATATAACAAATTCTTTGAAATGTCATGTTGAACTTGTCATTTCCCACTTGGCATTCATATTGACTATGAATGTCAGTCAGTTGAAAGCTGTTTAATGCTTTTATTTACCATTCCAGGAATATTTTACTCTTAAAGAAAATTAAATTATTCATTTATCAAAATTCAGCATTTAGTTCAAATTTGTGTATGTATATAGTGCTTGTCTAATGAACGAAATAGCCATCTTCAATGTTGATCAGTGGTATTTAATGTTCAAATTATTCTGTCATACTAATAGACAACATCACCACTGGGCTAATGGCATTCACGGCTGTTATGAATGCCATCTGAACTTGATATAGTTCTATAGTGGCAAAAATGAGTGGTACACATGTTGATATACCTTCCATCCTTTCTTGTAAAGATCTGTTTTCCAATCTATGTCGTCACAAGTGGTGTTTATACATATCTCAGACTATTTTGATGTTTGGAAAACAAATTATTGACAACTGTGTATCTGTAATTTGTTTTACCTTCTTCACAAAATTTGTATTTGTGCCAAGTTGTTTGCAGTGCAGTTATCTTCAAAGGCTGTCAACTTAAAATGAGCTTTCATGTTTTACCTTCTGAAACTGTATTTAAATACTAAGATGTTTTTTTATTTCATGATGATCATTTAAAATTCTGGTACATACAGTTTTCACCATAAATTTAAATAATCATGTAAAAATTTCCATTAATATTCTTTTTGCTAGCTGCTTTAAATAACAGGTTCTTTTACAATCAAGATATTGACACTTTCTGGCTAAATTTTATAAACTATTCTACAATTCATGCAAAACTTTCGAAGGAAAAGTTTCCTTTAGATTTTAATCGGAAGCATTTTTATACCCTTGCCAAAAGTGGAATGTATTTCATTATCACGACCGTCAATCCCTACATAATTATTATCTTAACATGAAACATTTTCCAACAGCTTTCAACCAATTTGGTTTAGATTTGGTGTGTAAAATGGAAATTGAATCCTATGAAAGTACAAATTTTGTAAAATGAGAATGCTTCATATGACAATAAATGAATCTGCGCATGTTAACCTTGTTACACTAGTCCCAGAGTTTTTGACGGAATCTTCTGGCATTTGATGCGTGTGATATTAGAATCAAGAAGATTTGTTTCGTTTATTACAGTTATAGTCCTGTCTTTTTCTCCTACACACATTTGAACCAGAAAACTTTAATTTAAAATGTAGGCAAGGCAAAGGGAGGCAATCCATATAAAAATTGAAAACAGCTAACAGAAGAAAAGAACACCTTGTCTTATTCCTTTGGCTAGTATAAAGTACATGTACTACTATTGTAAAGCGAATTTAACAAACCTTATTTATCAAGTACAAATTTCATTTGTCTTATTACATTTCAATATTGTGATACATTTTGTTACATTCCAAGAATGCATCGAAAATGTCCGTAGTATGACAATTTTCACTTCAAGTTTTAAAGATAATTGGAACTATTTGAAAGTTGAAACATTGCAATTGAAATATGAAAAGAAAATCAAAATATAAAGCCAGTCCTAAAATTAACACAGTTAACATATAGTTACCAGTGATGTTATTTTTCTTTGCAAATTGCATTAATCATTTCAATGTATCACAGGTGTTAATGCTATCCTATGCCGTGCTCTTGTTTAAACATGTTTTGTTAAAGTTTCCAGTGTTCAAAGAGGAAGTATAGCTCTGTTGATAAAAACATGTACTTGAGGTTTGTAATTAAATTCATTTTAAGAAAAATGTCAGCATTATATCGCTTTTGTCACCCTTCTTATTTGCTCTTAAAATCATAATTTGACATAACAGATGTGAATTTTTTTTTAAAGTCATATTGCTAAGGAGGTGGATGTTTAGGCAAATATTTATTACTACCTGTCCTGGGTCATTTCACTTTGGCCTGTTGTTTTTATACCTGCAAGAAGCCATCTGGTAGGAAATATATATCACTTGATTGATTTGTTGTCAGTTTCATATGGTGACTCTTCAGGTCTCGCAGTACGACCAGTTTCTATTGGCTGTGTAGATTACACGACATCTCGTCACTCGTAATATATAGTTTCAGAAAAGCACCAGAAAAACCAACCCAAAATATTTTCAATCACTGCAGCTTCTACTTAAATTTTAATGCCAATTTCAGATGCGGTTGTCTTGAATTGCGAACTTGACTAATAAATTAGCACAAGGCTCGACCAGGACGTCTTTATTAGACGAAGATTATGTGAAATATTCATGACTGCGAGCAATAGACTTTGATGAGGTTCTAGCGATCTCCGTATATTAGGGATCGGTCAATTTCCTGATGAAAGTCTCGTCTATAATAAGGATTGACACTATTTTTCCATGTCTGTTATCCTGCTGAAGATGTTCATTAAATGTTTTATTTCAGACCACGGTTTGATGGACATTTCCTGTTCAAATATAAAATGATATTTTTGTCTTATTTTATATGTCCCTGTTTAAACGTAATTATATAAAGCACGTCACAACTTTCCGTTAAGCAGTTTAACTGTGTTCTGTCGACATACATTTTAAATTCCTGTTGAGTAGTTAATATATTCTACAGGATATTTGTAGTCTGTTCCTTTTGTCCATACATTTTCACTCGCTGCATGAGTTCCCAAACTATGAGATTCAATTCAGGACCAATTTTTGCAAATATTTCTATAAATTAACACACATGTTTGACCAGAGTACAGTTAGATTGAGGATTTGGTCTGTATATTTTCGTTTATTTTTCTCCTTTCTTTGTTTCTCTTATGTTTCTGGCAAGTCTGCAGTGTTTTACTTTACTTTCTAACAGTCTCTTGTATTATTAAACACAGAACATTTTAAAAGGGATATTTTTTAAACTGTATACTAATATAAAACCTCCTTTTATAAAAAAAAATAATGTATTGGTGCCTGATGTTTTCCCTTTCAAATATAGAATACGTTGGCATGAAGAATAAATTTGGCCACAATGAGGGGTCAAAGTAGGTACAGATGTACATGTAAGGGAAATGGCATAAATTAGAGATTCTGTCACATTTTAAGCCCATCTGGCTAAGAAGGCCAGGTGAGCTTATGATATGTAGTATCCACAATCTATTGCCCATCTGTTAATTCTTTATCTAAAAACCTACTTTTCCAGATTTCAACTAAACCTGGTTTAGAGCTGTATAAAAGGAGGATCACTGGCTCCCCTTTAGGGCCAGCGGGACTTTGCACAATAGGGAAAAATAAATTAAATCTTAAAAATTATACTTCAGTAAATGTAAATATATTTACAATATTTGGTCTAGAGTTGAACATCTCTCGACAAAAGATGTTGTGCCCTAGGCCTTCCCTTCTTACTGGGGCCAGAAAGTTGGAGCCTAAAATGGGAAATCAGGGCATTTTAGCTTCAGTAAATCTTTTGATAGCATCAAAGTTTGTACAAGACATAATTTGTCGTGTATTTGTGCCGCAGGACTCGCTTATTGATTTGAAATGTAACAATTATATGGAACATATCTTCTTATTATTGTAACAAAAATACTTTGCTTACATACAACTATCTACAGTATGTGAACCTGTACTCTAAGCTTTATAACGGGGAGATAATGAAAACAGGATAATCTCGTTTTATTTGTTGTCCTCTTGTGGGAATACAAATTGTTCAGTATTAAGTATGTTTTTGTTTTCTCCCTCGTGAGTTGTGTACCCTTAAGGTTAAGTCTTTCTAAGTGGCGATGTGATGTACGCAGGTGAGCCGTGCTCCTGTGTGATTACCTCCCACTTAACTTAATTGATGTAGGACTTGTGTACAGTGAATAAAACCTGCTGTATTTTTATCTGATGTACTCTCACAGCACTCTTACTGATTATGAAAGGTATTCTAATTTGATTCCCCTACCAACAACTCCCTGTGCTGCGATTACCAGTTTTACACTGTTCTGTCGACATACATTTTAAAGGTTTATGAATACAATTTACACTGTTACTATACATGGTAATACATATAGTTATGTACTCCACACTAAATGGTGTGGCCTAAATTAAATTCTTTATCGTTACAAGTACATGTAAAGGCACCTTATTGGGTGCTTCAACTATGTACGTATTTTCAGGCGCCTACAAACATAAAATGCCTACATTTCCTTGGGCACTTGATGAAATTTGTAATTTCCAATGAGTGTTTATATGTATGGACTCTAAATGCAAAGTGAAAAACGAGTTCAATTCTGAAATTGTCACCAAAGATAGTAATATGTTTGGTGAATGTAATATTGTTTAATTTGCATTTACTGATAATCAAAATCTGGCCGTTCTTTTTATTTTAAATTCTTTATTTAATGCAATATAGACATTCCTTTTCAGCTGACGTTTATGGTTTTGTTTTCTACAATTTATTATTTTTAAACCAATACAGATATATTGGATTGAACTGCAGTTTATTTGGTTCAATCAGTATATGATTTTCAGACTTTCATGTTTAAATTTTTATATGTTGCAGGTAATGAAAGTGGGTGTGACTATTCAGCGCTACGTAAGCTTCAGGAATGCTCGCCCGTGGGTCACCCATGCTTACAAGAATGTGAAAGGACGAGGAGTTAGGCAGACATCCCAGGTATTGACGACAGCTTTAAGGACCAAACAGTTATATTCTTCCTCCTACTTTGCCACAGATTTCTAAATATTTACATAACAAATGAAAACTTAAAATTTATCAATTGAAATGTTACCTACAATTAACACCCGTCTATAGCTACTGACCAAAAGATCTAAAGCTCAAATCACACTGACAGCAGGTTGTCATTTTTACTATCAACCTTGTTGCTCCAGTCTACCAAGCTGTATGAATGGGTGACCATTTTCTGGGAAGTGTTCCTGCGAAGGACGGAGGTCCTTCCAGGAATCAGTTACTCCTAGTTCCTTATTACTACAGAAAGCAGGTTAAGTCACAGTTACATTGGTCATATATATAAGCACAGAAAAACTTAACTAATAATGTCATGTAATTTTGAGGAGGATTAAATCTGAACAGTGGAGAAACAGTTTTTGAAATTATATATTCAGGTTGAAGAGACAGTTACGGTAACCTAGGTTATAAATTTTCATCCTGAATAATGACACATAATACATTTTGAAGAGCTGGTATTGATAGTGTTGGGAAAAGGTGAAGGGGAGATAACTCTCATTGAAGTTGTGACAAAAACAAAGAGTCTGTACTTGGTAACTAAATGTTGAGTACACTCAAGAGTTTTCAAAAAAAGTTTTCAAAAAACATAATTATTCACAATTTGTAATTTATATAAATATTTTTACTTTGTAGTCATAATTATTTAGTAAATCAGAAGACATACTTTCTTTCCATCTTATCACGGAATTATATTAGATGCTGTGATCTTATATTTGTTATAATTTAAATTTTCAAGAAAAACATAGAAAATAAAAGGAATTTTTAACCTAAAATGTTCACAGGTGGATGATTCCTTTGATGCTGACAGTCAATCCTTGCAGGAGAGTTTGTCTAATCCCCTCGGGTATCGAAACACTGGTGCCCCCACCCCGGGGCCAGCAGGGGATGCAACTTCCGCCCCTAGAACAGTAGGCAACCTTTCATCCCTGGCTGCATCTGACCAATCAGTAGTCTCAGAATTGACCTCTGACAGAAAGGGTCAGCCTAGCAGTAGTGATAAAGAGACATCTAAATCTATGAGCACCAAGGGAAACAACTCTGATCAACAGATAGCAGAAGAAACGGGGGACGAATCTGATTTAGCTACCAACGTACAGGGCAAAGGAGATCAGTCTGGTGAGGGTAGTTCAAAGACCAGGCCGGAAGCAGTTCCAGAGCGTCCAAAGAGATGCAGGGAGCGAAAGAAATCCACCTCTGATGTTGGTGGCCCTTCCACACCCCAACCAACTAGGTAAATATAGCATGCTATTTCACATATCTTCTTCAACAACCAGTGGTCGGGTGGTGCAGGGGATAGAGCAATTGCCTTTCAGCAAGGCGGCCGGGTTCGATTCCCCGATCGGACTTGAAAAGGTTGGGGTCACCTGTCCGACCACGTGGGTTTTCTCCTGGTTCTTCCGGTTTCCTCCCACAATAAGACCCCACCACGTGCTAACATAAGGGCCAACAAGAGTGATTAACATAAGTCGAAATAAGTTGTTTCATAGTTAGTTAATAACCCCATTAATAACTATTTTCATTTGTTTCATAATTGTTGTAAAATGAATAAGGTATAGATTATATTGGTACAAAATTATATGTAAAGATCAAAGTATCACTTTTATTAGCTCACCTGGTCCGAATCCTTCTTCTTCTGTAACATTGGCAGAATTTTATCCAAATTTGGCCTGGAGCATCCTTGGGCAAAGGGAACTAAATTTTGTATAAATGGAGGGTGTGGCCCCTCTGGGTGCAGAGTTACGGGGCCCAAAAGGGGAATTTGAGGTTTGAATCTTTAAAATCCTTCTTCTTCAGTACCATCGGAGGGATTTTTTGTAATAAGAATAATTTCCCATTGTTGCCTTATTATCCAGGTGAGCGATACTGGCCCTCCAGGCCTCTTGTTATTTGAACAAGGTCACAATTTCTTCAAAATGCACTGTAACTTGGTAATACAAATTGTATCACTATTATCAATATAAAGAAGTTGACAGGAGGTAGAAGGGCCATTTAAACTTTTACTCGCATATACATTGTAATGGGAAATTTTGTGTGTATAATGAGGTCAGTATGCCATGAAATGTAGGTCAGTGTTACTAATGATTCTGTTGTTACAGTACTTACCAGAGGGTGCGGCTGCTCTGTTCTCCCTGGAGGAAGCCTGAAGGAAGCATCAATAAACACGTGTTCAAAACCATGATGGAATCAATGATGTTGAAGATCATGGCTTCACCAGGAATTAGCCTCCAGACCCTGTGTGAGAACTACACACCCTACAACCAACCCTTCTTAAAACTCCAGTTACTCGAGGTAAGTAAAACAGCAACATACACAGCCACCTGTCCTAAAAACTCCTAACCACAAAAATGTGCACTTTTCCTTAAACAACCCTACCAATTATAAGCATTCACTTATCCTAAATCATCTGTACAGCATAAATATTCAGTCCTCTTCGACATCTTCACAACAGAAACATTCACCATTCCTAAAACTCTACCACATAAACACCCACCCTTCCTAAAACATTTTCTCGTTCATTAAGGATCCAAGTACCACTGCCAAAAACTGTAACTATGGATAGCAAGGGGTTTTTTTCCCGGTGTAGTATGGTAATATGAAGGCTATGTTGATATGAACCACGGTTCATTCCACCATGCTTCACAATACCATGCTACACCGTCATGACTTTATGTTTAATAAATCATTTCTGAATGGAAAACCAGACCTTGCAGGACTTTTATGCAAAATAAGAAAGATGGAAAAACAAAATTAAATTAAAAATACCGTTCTGGGCGTAAAAAGGTAAGTGGGATTTGAAACCTAAACTTCAGGTGTTTAGGTAATACTATCACTCCGACCTATTGAGCTACTTGGAAGCGTTTTGGCATTTTTAAATTCTCTATGGGAGAGATAATGCTCAAAATTAAAAACAACAACAGAATGTGTGTGTGTACCCCTAGGTACTAGATAACACTTTAAATGGCGCCGTTGAAACTATTCTTTTAGATGAAATCATCAGATCTGGGGGGAAAAAAGGAATAGTATAATAGATTTAAAGGTTGAAAATGTTCAAATTTAGGTTTCAAAATTGGAAATCTCCTTCAAAAATGGGGAGAGTTGTAGTATGTACTGTATTTATGGAAAACCACGATACAGCGGGACAAGGATTCTTAAGATAGGGTTATGCTACCCACTATATTTCGATTAGTCCGGTGTTCTTTACATCACTGCTTACTTACCCAAGTTACCTTCCATATATTGTATATGTTTATAATACTTTATATGTAACAGTTTACTTTTATTTGCAGATTCTTGAAGACCTCAAAGCTATTGAAAAGACCGTTATCAGACGACAAAATAAGACGACCCTTTTCAGTAAACGAGTCCGACCCAAACTAGGTATGTACCCTATATATATAGTTCCCTCCAGTCACTTACACCGACGACAGAAGAATTTTCATTCTAATTAACAAAGCTCACCACTTTAACAATGATACCTTTTGATTAATTTGAGGTTTCGTGAATCTCTCCAGCTACTCCCATTACCTACTCTTGAAAGGGCAAAACATGTTCATACACAGTATATGAACTGCTGTTAGGTACAGGATAATTGATTTCCTGTAGAATTATGTTTGACTATATAACACTTTTAGAAGTTCTGTAATCTTACAAATGATTTTGTTCTTAGTTAGTTTTTGTGTTTCGTTCACAGCCACAGTACAGAAAGAAGAGGATACAGTGGTTTACTTCCCAACCAAAATGTGTATTACAAGACTGGGGCAGTTTTTGGTGTATGTCAATGGGCATTGATGTCATATGCCTGGACATGCCATGGAATATGTCATCCCACACCTGGACATGTCATGGAGTATGTCGTCTCACACCTGGACATGTCATGTAGTGTGTCGTCTCACACCTGGACATGTCATGGAGTGTGTCATCCCACACCTGGACATGTCATGGAATATGTCATCCCACACCGGGACATGTCAATATACGATTGGACCATGTATTCTTTAATTAAAATGAAGATGTGACATTGACTTAATTTATGCAAATGTATGGTAATATGTCATAATAAATATCTTGAAGATGTCCAATTATTTTGTTCTTGTCTCTCATCACCTTTCTAGTACACCGGGTGTTGTTTTTGGAGCCTGTATAGTTGTAAGGAACCCTGTTGTTAACAGGAGGATCAGGGTTACATACCTGTACACTTTATATGGCAACGAACGATCACTTCTATTATAACAACTGTTACAACCTATTAAAGGATAAAAACTAAAAATTCAATTTCAAAACTCATTATGCTGTAGAGATATAGTGATAGCAGTCGTTGGTGGTCATATTCAAGATGTCTGCCATCTTCTGTTTTTCTGCTGAAAATAAAATATACTCAGAGCTATAAGGAGTGTACATACAAATGTAGAATGCTTCCAGTGCTTCTGAGAAATACAAAAAAAATAGGTGTTTTTTTTAATCTTCTTTTAAAACAAGGACCAGGAGTAACCTTCTAAAGATGCATTAGGGGAAATGCAGTACCAAAATTAATGAATAAGAGTAAATGTCATTCTCTTGAATAGATTAAAACATATATAGGGTGTACAGAACGACAAGCAAGGTATACAACATACAGGAGACAAGAAACTGTATTGAACGTCGCATTCAGGTAAACAAGGAACAGTAGCTCTTGAGAGCTATTATTGCGACAAACGTTTATAAAATAACAATAACATATTATATTAAAAGTAAAGGGAGATAATCACATATATTAATAGAAAACAGTAATAATCATCACAGAAAAAGAAAGTATCCATATCCCAGGTTTCTAAGTGATTGGGAGTCCCCTACCTACAAAGGCCCCCGGGATATGACCCTTTTGGAACAATAAATATATAAAAATAGTGTTAATATATGAAAAGCATTAAATGTGATCACAGATAAGTAGTATTCAGAATAAGTAAATAAAAGACATTGTTAATAGTGAATGAATACTTGTACATCACACAAGAATTACTTAGGAGTTGGGATTAAAACACTATGAAGTGGAATATACATACAATGCTAATATAGCAAAGAATAAAAATTGACAGAATATACACTATTATAGTGTGAATTAAAAATGATACCGAAATCAGTTTACAAAATTTTTCAAGTTTTGTAAAAATATTTTAGAATATATGGAATTAAAATACAAATAAGATGCTGCAAAAATATAGAATAGAAATAAAACATATAAGAAATGAAATAAGACAATAAAAGTATCACATAATCCAAAATGTCATGTGGCAGAGGTAACCAGGGCACAGTATGAAGTATCACCCTTGGCAGATATTGGACCAGTCTCCTGAATTCTCTGAAGTTTTCGACTTTTCGGAAGTCATTTGGGAGACTGTTTCACACCCGGGCGACCTCAAAAGCAAACGATTTATGTCCATTCTTCACAGTGTTGACCCTGGGCAACTCTGCAGTATTTTCCTTCCTGAAGTCATAATTAGACATCTTAATATTTACTAGATTATTAATATATTCAGGAGAAATTTTGTTTATAATTTTAAAAACCACACAACCCATTTCCTTCAGACGCCTTACATGAAGCGTGTCGCTGTTGGTAATACTGAGTAAGTAACTGAAGGATAAGTTGTGATCATTATGTATAAAAACCTTAAAGCACTTTCTTGTATCTTTTCTAGCTTTCTGACACTCTTCATGGAACAAAAGTGCCAGACTAAAGGACAGTAGTTAAAATTTGAAACAATAAAAGAATCATAAATTACAAGTCTACATTGTTTGATTAAAAAACTCCCAATTTGTTTTAAAACGGACAATTGCCTTGAGGCTTTCCTACAAATTTCAGAGATATGAGCTTCAAAGTTTAAAAATGAATCAAAGTTCATACCTAAATATTTGACAACACTGTCAGGAACAATATCTATTTCGCCAATACTAAAAGACTATAGCATCTACTGAACGTTTCCCTATACAAATGGCCTGGAATTTATCAGGATTTGCTTTCATCTGGTTTAATTTACAGGATGTCACATATAAAAACATTTCATTTACAAATACATTAATAAGCAAGGGTCCTAAAATAGAACCCTGTGGTACCCCCTTCAGCACTTCCAGCCAGTCACCGCATTTGTAGCCAATTTTTACCTGCTGCTTCCTGCTGCTCAGGTAGCTGAACACTAAGGTTAACTGAGGCTTTGCTCAGGCCATAGGCCTCCAGCTTCCCGACCAACAAGTTATGAGGAAGACAGTCAAAAGCCTTGAGAGGTCCATCAGTATGGCGGTGACATACTCATGGTTGTCCAAGGCTCTACGCCAATCCTCAACAAGTCGCAACAGGGTGAATTGACACCCAAATCCAGGTCGGAAGGCTGTAAGGAAAGGATGAAAAACATTAGTAAAAAGGCAGTCAGTTGATCTCACATGGTTCTTTCAAAAAAAATCGATATACAAGGTAAAATGCTGACTGTTCGGTAGTTTTGTTTATCTAAAATATCTTTTTAGGTCACCTGAGCTTTAGCTCAAGTGACCTATTGCTATCCGTTTTCGTCCGTCGTCGTCTGTCGTCCGTCGTCCGTCGTCCGTTAACATTTTACATTTCAAACTTAAAGTCAAGTTCTGCTGGGCCGATTGAACTGAAAGTTGGTAGGAATGATCGCCTCATGGTCCTGACAAAGTGTTGTTATTTTTCGGGTCGATCAGAAATCCAATATGGCCGCCACGGCCGCCATTTTGAAAACCTATTTCAAACTTAAAGTCAAGTTCTGCTGGTCAGATTGAACTGAAAGCTGGTAGGAATGATCGACTCATGGTCCTGACAAAGTGTCGTTATTTTTCAGGTCGATCAGAAATCCAATATGGCCACCATGGCCCTATTTTGTAAATACCTATTTCAAACTTAAAAACAAGTTCTAATAGGCCCATCTCACTTAAAATTGGTCTAGGAATGATCAGCTCATGGTCCTGACAAAGTTAAGTTAACATTATACTTAACTATTTTTTACTCAAATTGGTACATATTTCAACAACAAAAATAAATACCGTAGGACTCAGGTGACCGTTAAGGCCCATGGGCCTCTTGTTTTTCTTTTATATCGTACGACTACAAAATAACCAACAAAATCAAACTTTTTTTCAGGTATGTATTGTTGTCATTTTCTGTCCCGTGAAAGTTTGCATTTTATGGTAAAGATAGCCTGTGTTATGTGGTCTAATTTTAGCTGTGGACAAAAACTAACAGACGAAATGTAGTGCGAAAACCACTAGGATATTCCTCATTGAAAATTAATAAATATTATTCTTCCAAGAAAGATAAACAGTTTTCCAGCCCACTACAGACATAATATCACCCTAAGCCTCTTGGTTATACAGAATACAGTCGAGAACAGTTTTAACACATGTGACCCTGTGACCATGAATGAGGGTTAACGTTAAAGTCATTCAAAATAAACAACTTGATAGCCCTTCATCCCATCCTACCATGCTACTGGCCAAATAGCATAAACCAAGGCTTCTTGTTATACAGAAGAAATTGTTGAAACTTTTTATACATTTGACCCTTGTGACTTTGAAAGATATTCAAAGTCATTCATTTTAACAAACTTGATAGTCCTTTATCCCAGCATGATACTGACAAAACATCATAACCCTAGACCTTTTTGTTACATGGAAGATACAATTTAAATGTTTGAAATCACTTGACCCTCTGACCTCGAAAATTAGTGAAGCCCATTAATTTAAACGAACTTGACTGTCTTTTATCCCAGCAAGCAACTGTCAAATAAGCAGAAGAAATGATGAAAATATTTAATACATTTGACCTTTGTGAACTTGAAAGTGAGTCCAGCCCATTGATTTGAACAAACTTGATAGTCCTTCATTTCAGCATACCACTGTCCAAATCCTACGACCGTTGGATTTTTGGTTATTGGTAAGAAGCTTTTCAGTGTTTTAAATGATTGATCCCTGTGACATATAAAGTGAACAACTGGATAATCCTTCATCACAACATGCTACGCATATGATTCCAGTAACTTTGAAAGTGGGTCAAGGTCAATCCTTTTAACAAACTTGTTACCCCTTTATCTTAGCATGCTACTGGCAAAATATCCTTTGCTGCTTGAGAATTGAGAATATGGTTGATGTTACAAGAAATTTCTTGATCACGTCAATTGTATCTACCCGCTTGGACTTGAAATAAAGACACTTCAGACTCTTCTACATCTGCCGCGTTCTTCGATCTGTACCCACAATATGGCCAACAGGGATGGCTTACTACTAAGAAGTGCGATAATATAAGCTGACGATTTTGATATTCCTATAGTGAACATTCATTTCTTGACAGTAATATCCCTGTTTCCCAACCTACTGAGTTTACATGTTGCAAATATGATTCGTTAATCAAAAGCTTGCTCCAAATATCATAATTTCTCAAAAGATGTTGGATGCCAATGGAGTACACAAGGTTTCACGAAATGGAGGACGTTGAAGAATCGGAAAGTCATATGGTCGCAAAGATGGTGTCGTTCAGTAGTATATCAATTTCCTCGCGTGATATTAAAGTCAATGATTTTGATTATGCTCATCATTGTTAATTGTTTCGTTTTCACTATCCCTGATTTCCCTTTCATGGGGGATGTGACGGCACTTTGATACCTACATCAACATTGTGGGTATAGTCGACGAAGCAAAGACATTTAACATACCGTAACACATGGTATTATTCTCCTTGTGCATTTTCAATAGCTCTCGTGTTTATTTTTCATTTGTTCATTTTACAGAGAGGGGGGGGGGGGGCAGAATCTCTTTTAACAAGAACACGAAGGACCCCAGCAAGTTAACATTATCTAAGATAATACCCAGGGGTTGTGTATTTTTATGTCCTACCTAACCGTTATATAGATATCATAGGCAAAAGGAAACGAACCATTCCTATTTAGACATCTGCTATATACAACGGGGTTTATGACAGCTAAACAGATAATTATAGCAATGGCAACCAGTGGCCTGTTCGTTTATGCGGAACAACCGGTTTGTCCGTTTTTAAATGCAACAATTTCGGGTATAAATCCTGGCGTACCTGAA